CCTGGGTCTTGGTATATGCTAAGCAGGTACTCTACACTAAGCTATATCTCCATCCTCAGTTCATTACTGTTAACTGAACTATAGATTTCATTTTGAATTTCATTTTTTTTAAACCAGTGTTCTTTTTTGCATATCAGTGAAATAGTGGTAGTGACCCACCTTTCTGGAGCTCAGGACAGAAATTAAATTAATTGTTAGAGCACTGTTAAATACTGTAAGCACTGTTACCAATAACTTTTGTTCTAAGCACTCTCGAATGCTTTTTCCTTTAAATGTGCTGGCTGTCAAAAAAAATCAAATACCTAGTGTAAACCTAACAAAAGGTGTGAAAGACCTCTACAAGGAAAATATACACTTCTGAAGAAAGAGATTGAGGAAGACTATAGAGAAAAGTGGAGAATCTCCCATGCTCATGATTGGTAGAATCAACATAGTAAAAATGTCAATACTCCAAAAGTAATCTACATGTTTAATGCAATTCTCATCAAAATTCCAATGACATTCATTAAAGAAATTGAAAAAATCTACCATTAAATTTATATGGAAAAACAAGAGGCCACGAATAGCCAGACAATATCAGTCAAAAGAACAATGCAGGAGGTATCACGATACCTGACTTCAAACTATATTACAAGCAATAACAATAAAAACAGAGCATGGTACTGGCACAAAAACAGACATGAAACCAGTGGAACAGAATAGAGGATCCAGATATGAAGCCACACAACTATAACCAACTTGTCTTTGACAAAGGAGCTAAAAATATACGATGGAGAAAAAGCAGCCTCTTCAACAAAAACTGCTGGGAAAACTGGTTAGCAGTCTGCAAAAAACTGAAACTAGATCCATGTATAACTCAAAATGAATCAAAGATCTTAATATCAGTCCCCAAACTCTAAAGTTGATACAGGAAAGAGTAGGAAATACTCTGGAATTAGTAGGTATAGGTAAGAGCTTTCTCAATGGAACCCCAGCAGCACAGCAACTAAGAGATAGCATAGATAAATGGGACCTCATAAAGCTAAAAAGCTTCTGCTCAACAAAATAAATGGTCTCTAAACTGAAGAGAACACTCACAGAGTGGGAGAAAATATTTTCCAGCTACACATCAAAGGACTGATAACCAGAATGTATAGGGAACTTAAAAAACTACATTCTCCCAAAATTAATGAACCAATAAAGAAATGGGTAAGTGAACTAAACAGAAAGTTCTCAACAGAAGACATTCGAATGGCCAAAAAACACATGAAAAAATGCTCACCACCTCTAGCAGTAAAGGAAATGCAAATTAAAACCACACTAAGATTCCACCTCACCCCTGTTAGAATAGCCATCATTAGCAACACCACCAACAACAGGTGTTGGCGAGGATGCAGGGAAAAAGGGACCCTCTTACACTGCTGGTGGGAATGTAAACTAGTACAACCACTCTGGAAAAAAATTTGGAGGCTACTTAAAAAGCTAAACATTGATTTACCGTATGATCCAGCAATACCACTCTTGGGGATATACCCAAAAGACTGTGACACAGGTTACTCCAGAGGCACCTGCGCACCCATGTTTATTGCAGCACTATTCACAATAGCCAAGTTATGGAAGCAGCCAAGATGCCTCACCACTGACGAATGGATTAAGAAAATGTGGTATCTATACACAATGGAATTTTATGCAGCCATGAAGAAGAACGAAATGTTATCATTCGCTGGTAAATGGATGGAATTGGAGAACATCATTCTGAGTGAGGTTAGCCTGGCCCAAAAGACCAAAAATCGTATGTTCTCTCCCATATGTGGACATTAGATCAAGGGCAAACACAACAAGGGGATTGGACTATGAGCACATGATAAAAGCGAGAGCACACAAGGGAGGGGTGAGGATAGGTAAGACACCTAAAAAATTAGCTAGCATTTGTTGCCCTTAACACAGGGAAACTAAAGCAGATACCTTAAAAGCAACTGAGGCCAATAGGAAAAGGGGACCAGGAACTAGAGAAAAGGTTAGATCAAAAAGAATTAACCTAGAAGTTAACACACACACACAGGAAATCAATTTGAGTCAATGCCCTGTATAGCTATCCTTATCTCAACCAGCAAAAACCCTTGTTCCTTCCTATTACTGCTTATACTCTCTCTACAACAAAATTAGAGATAAGGGCAAAATAGTTTCTGCTGGGTATTGAGGGGGTGGGGGGGACAGGGAGGGGGTAGAGTCGGTGGTAAGGGAGGGGGTGGGGGCAGGGGGGAGAAATGACGCAAGCCTTGTATGCACATATGAATAATAAAAGAAAAAAAAATAAATGTGCTGGCTGTTGAGGACTGGGGAGACTTAAGTCCCTAATTGACAACTGCTAGTCCCTATTCTGTGCCACTGCCCTCCCCCTCCCACCAACAGAAGACTTCCAGCCAGCAATTGGACTGCCCTCATGCTGCTAATACCCAAAGCACAACTTCAGTTCCAGAAGGCACTGCCCTAGCAAGCAGCTTGCACCAGATGTTTGCCACCATAACAACCTCTTCTACTAAGGCCAGAGCAGGAACACTGTGGCCCATCAGAAAACCTGTGATTGAGGCCAGGATCTGGTGGCTCACACCTGTAATCCTAGCTACTCAGGAGGCAGAGATCAGGAGGATTGTGGTTCAAATCCAGCCTGGGCAAAAAGTTCACGAGACCCTATCTCAAGAAAACCCATTACAAAAAAGGGCTGGTGGAGTGGCTCAAGGTGTAGGTCCTGAGTTTGAGCCCCAGTACCACAAAAAAAAAAAAAAAGAAAAGAAAGAAAGAAAATCTGTGATTGAGGTAAACAAAGTCCTTCATTTGCATAAGGGACTACTGTGATTAGTGTAGACCCTCTTGTTGCCCCTCCCTCCTTTTTCTGTCTATTTAAGCAGGCTGCTCAAGTCACTTTGTGAGCAGCTGGAAGACACACTCCTGTGTTGCTCCCCTGGTGTTGCAACATTAGGTCTCAATAAAGACTTCCCATTGGTATTACCTACCTTTGCTGAGCTGGTAACAAGAACAAAAAGAAAAGAAGCAGCTGTGCTTGGAAGAACAGCTTGGGGCTGTCCCATCAGCAGGGCAGCAGTGAAGGTCACAAGTGGTTCCCGTGGTAGCAGGAGCTGAGCTGCCCCAGGTGGGAGCACTGATTGGCTTAAGTGAAACTGGCAGGAGCCAGGAGTACTGGAGTAAGCAGTGGCATGAGTAGACTATCTGGAACAGTGGAAAAAACTGCAGGTGACAATGGTGCAGATGGTGAAAGTGAAACTGACTGCAGTGGTGGTAGAGGCAGCAAATTTCACCCTGACATTGGCAGCAGGTCTGGATTGACTGGTGGAGACACCCCTTCCACTGCAGGTCCTTGTCTGGGGCTCAGAAGAGTTGTAACACTTAGGTCTTGGCCTGAACTCTGATGCCAAACCCTGAGCTGCTTCCCTAGCCATTAGGGGACTGGGGCCAGAACAGAACCCTGAGGTGCATCCACCTCCCTAGCCATCGAAGGCTGGGCTGCCACTGCCCTCTCATTCACTACCATCACCTGCAGATACCCACCAGTGATCCAGAATAACTGGAAGAGCCTCTCCTTGTCTACCCGTGATTTCTGTCTGGGTAGAACAGAAGGACCCAGCTCCTGTTTTGTAATGAAAGTGGTGACCTTGAAAAGACTCCTCTTTTTAGGGTTTAGAAGAAATAGACACTCATGATGATAGAGTAGACCTTCCTTGTGTGTAGAAGGAACCATTACTTCGGTGTCAGCCATGATAGGTAAGGTTCTTCCTTGGCTGCACCCTTCTCACTAGAGAGATGTCAATCCCTCCTTTATTTTGGAGTAGTGCTCATCTGGTTGTGCTCCTGATTTATAAATTGTGATAGCCCCAGCTTGATCACCCAGTTGGACTGCAGACTGGTTGCATCAGCTTCATAGTCTTTGTAGGCTTTGGTCCAGAAACTTTGGTTGGCTACACATTAAATGCTGCAGAAGCTCTGTTTGGGATTTTTGGTCAAGCCACAGTGGTGGTTCTCATTCCTGTTTCTGAGATTGTTCTGGAGTTTTATTCCAGTTTGGGAATTTTACCTGGTGTTGCTAGACATACTACAGCAGTGTTCCTTGTAATAGTTTCTGAGATTCCACAAGCTTTGGTTTTGTAGATCTAGTGTTGGGACTTCAGATCCATTGCACTACTTTGTTGTCTTTCGTAACCTTGTTCTGGTTTCAGAAGCTTTGTTTTGGTTTATTGGACAAACCTGAGTAATGGTCTTTATCTTGGTTTCTGAACTATTTAGAGGTCTTGGTCAGTTTCTAGGGAATTTGACTTGGTATGCACTTTGGTCAGTGAGCATTTGTGAGAATTTTGGTGAGCATTTGTAAGGACTGGATATCTAGAATGAATATTTATATTTGGTGAGAAGTTGTCCAAGAAAGTTCTCTAAGATTTTTTTTTTGTTTTTATTTCTTTTTGTCTTGTGAGACATTTTCTCTTTCTCTTTCCATGGAAAAGGTAGACATGGGAAATACCTCTGGTATTTTCAAAGATTCACCCCTTGATATCTAACGTTTAGCTGGGGTCAATTTAACTCAGAGGAACTTAAGAAAAAGAGACTAGCTTTCCTTTATAACAATACCTGGCCTTAGTACAAACTAGGAGACTAGGAACATTGGCCAGAAGATGGGTCTGTAAGTTATAACACTATTTTCCAGCTAGATCTATTTTGTAAAAGGGAGGAAAAGTGGGGAGAAATCCCCTGTGCTCAGGCCTTGATTAAGTTATATGTGTACTAAGAGATTCTTGTCAGGTTTGTATAGCCATAATTTCCAAGTCCCCTGAACTTACAAATCCTGAAACAAGCACCCAATGGGAGACACAGAAGTTTAAGCAAGACTCCAAACCCTGCTACACCCCTGGATAGAGGAGGCCAGAAAGATAAAGAACAAGGTAAGAATTGTAGGCATCCTAATATAATAACCATCTCAGGATACTCTAAGAGGGCCCCAAGAAAGCACCAACATGGTGCTGCTGGAGAGGGAGCAGTTTCTGATGGAGCTGACCATATTCTTCGAGAAGTGCTATTTGTTGGGCAGCATGTACATTACCCTGAAGAAGTATGATGGTTGGACTAAACCCATTCCAATGAATGGTTCTTCAGAGGGCCTTGAGCTATAGAAAACAAATGTCTTTTGAGAGCTACTGATGGGAAAAAGAAGGGCAGCACTGTGGTGTGCTCCAAAGAAGTGAATAAGTTTCAGATGGCTTATTCAAACCTACTGAGAGCTAATGTGGATGGGCTGAAGAATAGGGACAAAAAGAACAAGAATAAGAAGATCAAGACAGCACAGTGAAGGGTACCAGCTTTCCTCCTTTCACCAACTAACTACTGAATTGCTATTTTTCCTTTTTGCCACAAAGCTCAGTTTTTGGTCCCCCAACTGTTAACTGTTTTCATGTGAGACTAGGGTCATTTTGAAGAGAAGGGTGGGGATGTTAGGGTAGTTGTGGAGGGAAGCCACTTTTAGAACTGTGCTGCATGGCTGTGTATGCCTGGGTTATAGTTTAAAAGTCTCCATTGTCCTCTCTTGAAGAGCAGTATATCAAATCTGTCTGTCAGTACTGGCTACCTCTTGCCCCTTTTCTCACCCCTATTAAATAGTTCTGGCAATAACTAAAGAGAAAAAAAAGGGCACAGGAAAAGTGACTGTCTCAAACATCATGAGGGAGACCAAATGGCCAGCAATCTACCTTAAGCCCAAGTCCAGGCAGGGTCTCCCTGTTGGGAGCAGACAGGTGTATGAATAAGCTGTGAGTTTGAGTTTGGCACAGCCCCAAACCGCAGAAGGGAGCAAGCATAGTTATGCCCAATAAATTGCACACTTGAATTGGAACAGCCTCAGCTGCAGAAATGGGCAAGATTCAGTACAGTTGTTTTCCTAAGATGTTTACATTCAGAAAGAAGCTGTCACAGGTTCCTCCTGTTCCTGAGGATTACAATGTCACGCCCACACACCCTAAGAATCGCCTCTCCACCTTGTGTTGCAATGATATATAATAAACTCACTGGAGGTGGAGGGGCCTGATGTGTCTCCATCCAAGCACCCAGCCTACCTGGCCCCAGCTTTATGCATGTTTGGTCTTCTGTCTGTTGTCTTTTCTGGCATCTCCTGTTACCCCCAATTAGGTTTCTAGGACAAGCTCATGCAGGATGTGAGATTTCCTCATGTGGAAGATTGGCGCTTGGGTTGAGGAAGCTTGGGGAATCAACATCATCAGGGTCTTGGGTATTTCTTGGTTTGGCAAATATTGAAATGTTTTAGTTCAGAGGTGGTAAACCTCTGTCTCATGTCTGTCTTCATATACGTGCAAGTATATATTGTGTATATTGTATGTGTCTACAAGTACATGTTTGTATGTTTGTTTACAAGTTACCAATTGATTTTAGAAAAATTGAGCACTCATTTATCAAAAATTATGTCCAAAAAAATTGTAGATGGATGAGACTTTTTAATATTGGCAGATATGTCTGAAGTGGCTTTTGAATATTTAAAAAAATTAATTTATATTTTATTCATATGTGCATAATGTTTGGGTCACTCCCCCTTCCCACCCCCTCCCTCTTCCCCCCACCCCCTCACTACCCAGAGGAAACTATTTTGCCCTTATCTCTAATTTGTTAAGAGAGAGTATAAGCAATAATAGGAAGGACCAAGGATTTTTGCTAGTTGAGATAAGGATAGCTATACAGGGAGTTGACTCACATTGACTTCCTGTGCGTGTGTGTTACCTTCTAGGTTAATTCTTTTTGATCTAACCTTTTCTCTAGTTCCTGGTCCCCTTCTCCTGTTGGCCTCAGTTGCTTTAAAGGTATCTGCTTTAGTTTCTCTGCGTTAAGGCAACAAATGCTAGCTATTTTTTAGGTGTCTTACCTATCCTCACCCCTCCCTTGTGTGCTCTCGCTTTTATCATGTGCTCAAAGTCCAATCCCTTGTTGTGTTTGCCCTTGATCTAATGTCCACATATGGGGAGAACATACGATTTTTGGTCTTTTGGCCAGGCTAACCTCACTCAGAATGATGTTCTCCAATTCCATCCATTTACCAGCGAATGATAACATTTCGTTCTTCTTCATGGCTGCATAAAATTCCATTGTGTATAGATACCACATTTTCTTAATCCATTCGTCAGTGGTGGGGCATCTTGGCTGTTTCCATAACTTGGCTATTGTGAATAGTGCTGCAATAAACATGGGTGTGCAGGTGCCTCTGGAGTAACCTGTGTCACAGTCTTTTGGGTATATCCCAAGAGTGGTATTGCTGGATCATGGTAGATCAATGTTTAGCTTTTTAAGTAGCCTCCAAATTTTTTTCCAGAGTGGTTGTACTAGTTACATTCCCACCAACAGTGTAAGAGGGTTCCTTTTTCCCTGCATCCTCGCCAACACCTGTTGTTGGTGGTGTTGCTAATGATGGCTATTCTAACAGGGGTGAGGTGGAATCTTAGTGTGGTTTTAATTTGCATTTCCTTTATTGCTAGAGGTGGTGAGCATTTTTTCATGTGTTTTTTGGCCATTTGAATTTCTTCTTTGAGAAATTCTGTTTAGTTCACTTGCCCATTTCTTTATTGGTTCATTATTTTGGGAGAATTTAGTTTTTTAAGTTCCCTATATTCTGGTTATCAGTCCTTTGTCTGATGTGTAGCTGGCAAATATTTTCTCCCACTCTGTGGGTGTTCTCTTCAGTTTAGAGACCATTTTTTGTTGAGCAGAAGCTTTTTAGCTTTATGAGGTCCCATTTATCTATGCTATCTCTTAGTTGCTGTGCTGCTGGGGTTTTCATTGAGAAAGTTCTTACCTATACCTACTAATTCCAGAGTATTTCCTACTCTTTCCTGTATCAACTTTAGAGTTTGGGGACTGATATTAAGATCTTTGATTCATTTTGAGTTATACATGGATCTAGTTTCAGTTTTTTGCAGACTGCTAACCAGTTTTCCCAGCAGTTTTTGTTGAAGAGGCTGCTTTTTCTCCATCGTATATTTTTAGCTCCTTTGTCAAAGACAAGTTGGTTATAGTTGTGTGGCTTCATATCTGGGTCCTCTATTCTGTTCCACTGGTCTTCATGTCTGTTTTTGTGCCAGTACCATGCTGTTTTTATTGTTATTGCTTTGTAATATAGTTTGAAGTCAGGTATCGTGATACCTCCTGCATTGTTCTTTTGACTGAGTATTGTCTTGGCTATTCGTGGCCTCTTGTGTTTCCATATAAATTTAATGGTAGATTTTTCAATCTCTTTAATGAATGTCATTGGAATTTTGATGGGAATTGCATTAAACATGTAGATTACTTTTGGGAGTATCGACATTTTTACTATGTTGATTCTACCAATCCATGAGCATGGGAGATCTCTCCACTTTCTATAGTCTTCCTCAATCTCTTTCTTCAGAAGTTATATTTTCCTTGTAGAGGTCTTTCACATCTTTTGTTAGGTTTACACCTAGGTATTTGATTTTTTTTGAGGCTATTGTAAATGGAATTTTTTCATATATTCTTTTCTGTTTGCTCATTATTAGTGTATAGAAATGCTAATGATTTTTCTATGTTGATTTTATATCCTGCTACCTTGCTATAGCTATTGATGTGTCTAGAAGCTTTGAGTAGAGTTTTTTGGGTCTTTAAGGTATAGGATCATGTCATCTGCAAATAGGGATATTTTGACAGTTTCTTTACCTATTTGTATTCCTTTTATTCCTTCTTCTTGCCTAATTGCTCTGGCTAGGAATTCCAGTACTATGTTGAATAGGAGTGGAGATAGTGGGCATCTTGTCTGTTCCTGATTTTAGAGGGAATGGTTTCAGTTTTCTCTTTCTAGTTAAGATAATGCTGGCTGTAGGTTTGTCATATATAGCTTTTATAATGTTGAGGTACTTTCCTTCTATTCCTAGTTTTCTTAGAGCTTTTATCATGAAATGATGTTGGATCTTATCAAAGGCTTTTTCTGCATCTATTGAGATGATCAAGTGGTTTTTGTCTTTGCTTCTGTTAATGTGGTTTATTACGTTTATTGATTTTCATATGTTGAACCACCCCTGCATTCCTGGGATGAAGCCTACTTGGTTGTGGTGAATGATCTTTTTGATGTGTTGTTGAATTCGGTTTGCCATTATTTTATTGAGGATTTTTGCATCAATGTTCATTAAGGAGATTGGCCTATAGTTCTCCTTTTTGGAGGTGTCTTTGCCTGGTTTTGGGATAAGTGTAATACTGGCTTCATAAAATGTGTTAGGCAGTTTTCCTTCCCTTTCTATTTCGTGGAACAGTTTAAGGAGGGTTGGTGTTAGTTCTTTAAAGGTCTGATAGAATTCAGCAGAGAATCCATCAGGTCCTGGACTTTTCTTTTTGGGGAGACTCTTGATTGCTGCTTCAGTTTCATTTTGTGTTATAGGTCTATTCAGGTGATTAATTACCTCTTGGTTCAGTTTTGGATCATCATATGTATCTAGAAATCTGTCCATTTCTTTAAGATTTTCAAATTTATTTGAATATAGGTTCTCAAAGTAGTCTCTGATGATTTCCTGGACTTCCATGGTGTTTGTTGTTATATCCCCTTTTGCATTCCTTATTCTACTAATTTGGGTTTTTTCTCTCCTCATTTTAAAAGTCTGGCTTGCCAGGGGTCTCTTGATCTTGTTTATTTTTTTCAAAGAACCAACTTTTTGTTTCATTAATTTGTATGGTTTTTTGGTTTATTTCATTGATTTCAGCTCTTATTTTATTATTTCTCTCCTATTTGTTTTGTTTTGGATTTTGTTGTTCTTGTTTACCCTAGGGGTTTGAGATGGTATTCATTGAGGTCATTGATTTGGGATCTTTCAGTCTTTTTAATATATGCACTCATGCTATAAACTTTCCTCTCAGGACTGCCTTTGCTGTGTCCCATGGTTCGGTAGGTTGTGTTTTCATTTTCATTGACTTCCAGGAACTTTTTAATTTCCCTCTTTTATTTCTCAATGACCCATTGTTCATTAAGCAATGTGTTATTCAGTTTCCAGCTGTTTGCATGTTTTTGTCTTTACTTTTGGTTGAGTTCTAGTTTATTGCATTTGATCAGATAGAATGCATGGTATAATTTCTATTTTCTTATATTTGCTGAGGCTTGCTTTTGGCCCTAGGATATGATCTTTTGGAGAAGGTTCCATGGGCTGCTGAGAAGAATGTATATTGTGTAGAAGTTGGATGAAATGTTCTGTAGACATCAACTAGGTCCATTTGATCTATTGTATTTTTAGATCTTAGGATTTCTTTATTGATTTTTTTGTTTGGATGACCTATTATTGATGATAATGGGGTGTT